CATATGAATCACCAAGTTCAATAAAGTCGAGAATTTCAAAAGGGCATTCAAGCTGCTTACAAATATAAGGCCCCTGAATGCACTGCTCACATGAGGAATTTTTGTCACAGGATCAGCGAGGGGCCATCACCAGAAAAGCAAGGCAGGGTTAAAAGGAAGGGCCCAACTAAAAATGCAAAGGGAGACTGTCAAAAATCACCTGACTGGAGAAGGCATGCCCAGGCGTGGGGAGTGGGAGAGCCCCCTGGCTGTTGGCACGGCCATCGTAGGGTGTGAATAACACAAGGATGGCATTTACTTGGAAGAAGGCTCATTTGTTGAGATGACTGCCTTTACAGAAAGGCAATCAGAGCCACTGGGCAATGAGGATGACTGGGTTCAATGGGCATCTCCCATCCCTCCTTCTCCAGCAGCACAAACAAAGGTAAAGCAAGATTGGGAGCTACCATTTATACAAAAACTGTATTGTAACTACAGATGCTTAAAATCGTGTGAAATCGATGGAAGCTGTAGAACAAAGGCCGATGGAAGACTACAGTATGTGACACAAACACATTAGCCTACACCCTACATTTATATGTGAACACCTTTGCTGTTTAATGGATGAGCTACTAATAAGTCAGAAACAGTTTAGCTTATATCCATTTGTTCATAAACTGTCTCTGTGAGGCTAAAAGTAAGTTGCTGCTTTAAAGAAGTCCATCTCTCCTAGTTAAAATTATTTTGGTCTCAATTTTACGAAATTAATATAATGTGGGAGACAGCACAACAATTTTTGCTGGCTTCCAAATTAAAAATAGTTGAAATGACATATCTTTTATTTTGGAAAACCAGGGACAAAAAGATATTCCCAGCCAACAAGTGAAGTGCCAAGTTTCTGTCAACTGCTTGGTTATAATTTGGAGACTTAGAATTAAATTTTATATCTTGAAAAGTGTAGTTTTCAGAAAAAGAAATGATGTAAGGCTGTTGTTGCAGGCAACTTTTAATCAGTCTTCTAATAACGATGACCCTCCCATCGTTCAGTGCTCTGCACTGAATCTTGAGACTTTTTAGCTGGAGAAACTCCCCTGTCAGGAGGCCCCCCAAGGAAACACCTGGGGGCTCCATGAACGCGACTCACCCAGCCCTCTCTTTCATGTCAACCTTGACCAACAGTGAGCGCCACAGGCCTATCTCATACCACCATGCCCCGTTTCATGGTCTAGGGTGGAGACCACGAGAACAAAACTGCACTGATGAAAACCATAGCTGTACCAAAAAATACTGTACCAGGTACCAAGTTTATATTCCACATCAGTGGTCCTTAGCCCTGGCTGCACGCTAAAATCATTCTGTACATTAAAATCATTTGAAGATATTAAAGAAAATACCAATGTCTAGGGCCTATCCCAGTGAATCATAATTTCTGGGCCCTGGCATTTTGTGAAAAACTCCCCAGCCAAGGCTAATGTGCAGCCAAGGTTAAGAACTGCTGCTGGCTATGGGCGACAAGGCACAGAATCAGCAGGAACTTAGCTCTCCACAGTCGGGTGAGCACCTAGTCCCTGAACACCCTAGCCACGTGACCACTGGCTCACCTGCCCTGACATGCAATGATTTGCATATGCCTTCTGGCTTCCAGGAAAGAGCTGCTGGAACATACAGGCCTGGAGCCTTCTCAGGTCTGCCTCAGTCTAAGCTGTGGGTGAAATCTACAAAATTCATTTTTCTGTCAGCCCAGAAAGCTGCCCATATAAGCAGTGTTAAGTGGGGGCTCAGTCGGAAGAATGGCTGATAGTCTGGAGAAGGGATTTTATTTCACAATCATACACGTTAAGAAACCTCTAACAGGAGTAGGGGTGGGGGGCATTGAGAGCCCATTTAAAACAGTATTCTATCTACTGACTTTGAATCCCACTGGGTTCCATTCAATCTCTTTCTGCTTAGTTTTAGTTGAAGGAGCAAGAAAGACTCCCCTTAATAACCAGGCAAGAAAGCATCAAGTGTTTTCTCTCTTTTGGAAACAAGTAGGTGTCTACACGCTTGAATTTGTCACTGTGCTCCAGTTTTGCAGACAGTGATCTGGCTGGCACAAAGATTCACAGACTCAGTGCCCACAAACAGCTGCACCCTACAGTACCAGCAGGTGCACGGACAGAGCCCAGCGAAAAAATTCAGTGCAAGAACAATGGCGCCGTTATAACGCCAAGGGACAAGGCCCCAAACTAGCCACTACTTCACTACATTTGATGACGGGAAGAGCTAGAAACTGAGCCGCAGCTCCCTGGGATTTGGCCTTTTTGTCCCTAAATCATAACCACAGATGCAGCCAGGTAGGGCACCACAGTGAGAGCAGCTATCAAATGCATGGCCGGACCAACCAGAGAGTAAGTAAAATTAAAAAAAAAAAAAAAAAAAAAATCGCTCCAGAAAATGTATTCCTTTCCTTTTAACACATCTTCTCCTCTCCTGAGCTGCATTGTCACCAAGTTTACATTTACATCCAAATATGCACACACAAAAAAATTAAGGATGCATCTCACTCCCTGGTGACTTTATAACAGGTTGCTAGGTAACAGTGCATACAAGTCAGGTTTCAGGACCTCCAGTAAGCCACCATAAAATAGCCGCATGGGTCTTTTGCATAAATAGTGTGTGCATTTGTTATCTGTTTTCTTACGCCAATTGATCAGTCAGTAAATATTCTGACTGCCAAACCATAAGCAACTCCCCATCAATAGCTAACTGAAAACACAGATCACAATACAAGGCTTTGATGAGCAATTCTTCCCCCTAACCTATCAATTGGCTTCTCCCCTTGTGTCTCTGCTGCTTGCAGTGCTGACTCCAAGCAGCCTTATCTTATGCTCCCTGAGATTGGGTCTGGAGCTAATTACAGTGTAATGTGGGCACTCAGAGCTGAACCCAGCAGGAGCCATGCATCATACACAAGGGTTTTATCCAAAGACCAAACCTTCCCTGTTCCCACTCACCTTCCTCTAGATTTTAAAACATCCCTGGAGTTATGGAGTAAAGGGAGTAACTCGGAGTAATTCACCCCCACTCAGATTGCCCTTGTCTGTTAGGTAAGGAAACGTCCCCCTTTCGAAGCTATGTGATGTGAATGTGTCATTTGCATTCCTTCCCTGGGGATTGCATTATAAGGGCCCATAAAAGGAGCCCCCTTTGCTATCACGGTGGCAGGGAGGACAATCAAGAAAAAACTAGAGTTCCCCTGAAGGTGAAATCCTAAAGGAACAGAACAGCAAACAGGAATGCATGAAAACATGCATTTTCCTACCTGCTCAAAAATTTTTAAATGTAAAACTCAAAGTCTCTAAAAATCACATTTTCTCCTCGATTGGAATAGAAGAGGCAGAAGTCGGGGGAGAGGGGTGATGCGGAGCAGAGAAGCCAGTGTTCTTTAGAGCCACAGTCAGAAACTTGGCCAATTCCAGCACAGGGCCCCCTCACGCTCACTGCCAGCTGGTGTGCTTCACTGTTATATTCCCTGCTCTTTGCCTACTTGGTTCATTTCTGGGACATCTCATTTTCCATCCCCTACCTTTCCTCATTTGTCTCAACTAGTGTCTCCCACTCCTGAGGAGCAAAGATCTGCGGTGAGGGGGACATTCCAAAAGACCCGACTGAAGAGTCCCTGAGCAAAGGGACTTCAGAGTGGAGCTGAACCTCTAATTCACCTGGCAATGACATTTAGTGAAATGCAACTCACAGTCCATTTAAAGGAAGGCAGTGACCAATTATTCTCCATTTAAAAGGGTATTGCCAATCTCCAAAGAGCTGACATGGCATTTGGAAATCATGGTGGGAACTGCCATCTTCACTGAAATACAGAACCAATTCTCCACCGACCTTCCCCCACCCCCTACATCTCCTTTAAAACTTAAAAATCATACTTTTAAAAGCATAATGAGTAGCCACACAATCTTGCAACATACCTTCTCATTCCAAAAGAGAATGACAGGAAAAACAGAGTGACCTAAGACCTTGATGTCCCTGTTCAACACCACAACTTAAATCAAATATGTTGGGGAAAAAATGATAAAAAAGGAAACATCATGTACAATTTGATGGTGATAGAAAGTAATGTCAACTATTAAGAATACATCTTTATAATTTATACTCCATCTTTTTTTCCCAAATGGATCAGGACAGTTTTATTAAAAAAAGAAATTTTTTTAAAAATGTGTTTTTAAATTCCACTTTACATGAGGTCCCTAGAGTAGTCAAATTCAAAGACATAAAGTTGTGGTCTCCAGGGCCTGTGGGGGAAGAGGTGAACTGAGAGTTGTTTAATGAGTTTCAGTTGGAGAGAATGAAAAAGTTCTGGAGATGGATGGTGGTAATGGTTTGCACAACAATGTGAACGTACTTAATGTCACTGAACTGCGCACCTAAAATGGTTAAAATGGTAAATTTTATGTTAAATATAGTTTGCCATAATAAAAAAATTTCTCGTTTAAAAAAACCTGAAAAACTTCTTAAAGACAGTTATCATTTGCTCAAATTTTAGAAGTCTATAATTCCTAAAAGTAGTCTTTGTATATATGTCCTTTAAAAATCTTATAAATTAAGACAGTAAAGAACTTGAATAATGCCAAAATGAGGTATTCCATACAAGTCCAGTGCAGAAGAGACATGTTAAACGGGGCCCAAGGTCACACAAGCAACTGACACAAGCCTGGCTTACCATGTGACCTTTCCCACCTACAGTAAGAACTCATCAAGGGGAAAAAAAACAGAAGCAAATCAACAATCTCTACTGTTTTGAGACCCAAGCCAAAGCAATACTACTTCCAAAGGATTACACACACACAAAGTCAAGGAGAAAACGTATGGGAGTGCAGACTATCCAAATTTAAAGGGACCTTGAAATCATCTAATTCTACCAGCTTATTTTACAAATGAAAATACTGGTAGACAGAGAGAGAGACAGAGAGAGAGAGAGAGAGAGAGAGGGAGAGAGAGAGAGAGAGAATACAACCCTATTCAAGTACCTGACAGCTTCATGAGAAAATCAGACGCCATCTTAACAGAGATGTCCTGGCTGAACAATGCTGACGCACTGTTGGCCACATACTCGGAGGGGTCTTTCAGCTTTGTGTGGTTGGCGGGCCTGTCGGCAGCATTCAAAGTAAAGGAGGTGGGCAGGCCGTTATCTTCCTTGGGTTCCTCCTTCACCAGCAAAGGCGAGACGCCAGCCCCTCCCTGGCTAGTCCTCTCTGGAGTGTTAGACGTCATCATGGTCCCCACTAGCTCTGTCCCTCCTCCTTCCCTTTGCTGCCCCAGGCAGGCACTGTCACTGAGGTGGGGAGATCCCTTGACATCTGGGTCTGGGATCTCCTCCTTCACCTTGGCTTCTGTCCTCAGGAAGTGCTGATGGCAACGCATGTGGAGTTTCAGGCTGAAGTGGCGTGAGGAAGTAAAAGGGCACAGCTGGCACTGAAAGGTCTCTCCCCGATCCTGGTGCTGATGAACCTGACGGAGAAGCAAGAAGAATGAGCTAGCCACCGTGCATTTATGGAAAATGCCTTGCTGTAGATCCAAACTATTCATCAATCATTTCCTCACCGGGCAAAGGGCTGGCCTTTGCACCGCAGAGCATTTCATTACGGGACTCCAGGTAATGAGGCCAATCCCTAAACATAAAGTGGGTCCCCATAGGTTAAGAGTCCATTATTAGGGCCACACTCACAACTGAGGATGCAGCCGGCCAATGGATGCTATTTTGGGTAGCATCCCAATATTCTAGTCATCTGATCTCAGTTGATGTCTTTGGAGAAAGTATTATGAACCCAGCACAATCCAAACTTACATAATTACTAGTTGGGGGTCAAAAGAGGTAACCTGTCAAGTAATTCCTCTCACAATAATGACACTTTGCATGTATCCAATTTTTTGTTACCCAGAGAATTAGTTATGTTTTGCAAACATAATTTCAATTTTCAAAATGCTGCTCTTAGATAATTAAGAATGTAGAAAATAATGTTTCCAGGGTATTCCCGTTTCAAAGACAGAGAAATTGAGGCCCCAGTATAAATGGATTGAGCGAAATTACATACAAAAAAGAAAAAAGCAAGGTAGGAGAAAAACCAAGGTCTGACCCTCACCAAGTATTCTGAGCAAGAGGAAACCAATTTTTCTAAACGTGGCTATAATATCATGCTCCAGATTCTGACGTCTGCAATGAAAGAATGCAGACTTTTAAATCCAGTTCCAGTCTTGCATGCACACGATACCTGTAAAAATTGGGAGAAACTTTTTTCTTCCTGTCACTACCAAATTTAGTGCTTAAAAAAGTGAGGAAATCATTGCATTGGCCTGAGCCAGGCTTTGAGCTGGCAGGTGCTCATAAGCTTGTAACTTCCCCATTCATCTCTGCCAATGCACTTTAGTGCTGACCTGCTACACTCTGCTATTTCAGGACTGGCCCTCCCTTAAGTAGAAACTGCCAATTGTGTAGATGTGGGCCAAATGATTTGGGGAGCTGTGTGATCCGAACAAACAAGTAAGTGATTGGAATCCAAAAGCAAAACAAAACTGACACCTCCTCTTTTAGGGGTGACCTAAGCAGGACTCGAACCCAGGTCTCACCAAGGTTAAAGGCTCACGGGTTAATCCGTTGAGCCACCTGGCCCCTCTGGGTAGGTTTCCTTTCCAAGAGAGCAAGTTTTACAACAGCTGTTTATGCATTCTGAATGCAATCCAAAAGCATTATTCACCAGCCAAAACATACTTTTAAATAATGTTAAGTGACCAACAAAAGCAAAGAAATTAAAAGTTAATGGTGAGATCCTGTCGCTACAGCACCCCACTGTGGCTTTTTGAAAAAAACAACAGAAGAGATTCTGGGTCCCCCAAAGCATGAGTTTCTCAACAGAAATAGCCATATACACTTAAATCCAGTTAGGCAAAGTCTTGATCATGAAAAGGCTTTTCCTCTGCTGGGGTGGTGTGCTGGGGGTGGGGAAACACACCGATTGTCACCAGCTGTTAACATCACCCCTTTCTGTTCTTTCACAACAAAGGGATTTCACTGGGAGCTGATCATTTCATTTGCTTTCTCACAGAATCCCCACCATCTCCTCCAACCAACAGTCCCACAGGACCCTGACTGGTGCTGCCAAAAGCATGCCCCAGAACCAGGTGGTAAAGGTCACGAGGCAGAGAGCTTCCATCGTCCCTGAGAGCAGTGCAGTGGGGCAGATCCATTTCAGAAGTGTCCTTACATCTACTGACCCAGGAGAGGAGAGGAGCTAATCCAAGAACAGAAGCTCCGGAAGCAGCTTCTGGAAGGAGGAAAAGGACAGAGCGCGAGCCCAAGTTCTAAAATCAAAAGGGAGCCCTGGATTAAAAACAGTCTGTGTGCATGTATTTTATGTGACTTCTTTTCCACGAGATCCTGGCCTTGTTATATTTAGTTACGGACAAATTAGTGAAGCTTTAAAGGAAAAACAGTGGGTATTTTGTTGACTTTTGCACTTAACAGTTTTTTTTTGAGCTACACCTTCCCAAAGGGACTATATATCACATTTGGCCTTTGAGAGAAGTATTAGCTCTATCCTCTGACTGCAGTTTTTTCCCCCTTCTCTCCTGACATTCGAGCACTTTTCTGTTATAATTTTTATTCTCTTTAGCTTGACATTTGCTTTAAAGACCCTTTTAGTCTACTGAAATGAAGAGATGCTTCTCTAAAGCACGTCATTCTTTCTAGGCCATGTTTAGGGGCTCACCTACCCCCTGGTCATTTCACATAAACAACCCGTATCAGGTGCTGCTACATCATTAGGGCCATCTCTTCACCACTGGGGCCATTTCTTGGTAGCAGTTGGATGCTTGGGTTGTGGTATTTCAGAGCTTGGGGAAATTTTGGGAAACCTCTACTGCATCCCCCACCAGGGGGACAGGTGAGGGCCTTCACGAGAAGTTACAGCTCCTTAAATGGCAGACCTGAGACTACTAGAACTCAGTACCCTGACTCTCGGTCAGTTTCCTGTCAATACTTCACCAGTGTTCTTTGTCTTAGCAGTCCTCCTCACCTTTTCTGTTCAATTTTAGTTTATGAATTCATGTTGAATTCCTGTATGTTCACTTATCCAGGAAAATTTTAAAGGACTTAATGGAAATCTGAGATAACCCTGAGGAAGCTGGAGGCCTTTATAAGCTCCTTCCACAGCAGGTCATAAAAACATTTGCACAATATATTACGAAGGAAAGGTGGGCTAAAAGAACGTACAGTGACTAAGACATAATAGGATAGAGTAAGTACTATAATACAAATATAGTAAGTACTATATTTGTTGAACAAAGAAAGTAGAATCTCATTTTTCTTTAAAAAAATTGATATACCAATATAAAAGAATATACATCAAAGTGATAATGGTTATTTATCATTCTGGGTGATGGGATTAAGGATCAATTTTATATTCCTTTGTTTATCAGTTTTTCTAAGTTCTCAGCACTAGAGACAGATCACGAAAAAGGGAAACGGAATAAAATTTATTTTAGAGTAATTTTTTATACCATTTCATTGATTATTTCTAAATGTGAACAAACATTAATGTATATTCAGATGGTTTTCGGATGATTACTGTATTAGCTACCTTTACTGAATGTTGTTTCTCCAGGCTAGGCACTGTATTAAGTGCTTTATGTGCATTATCTCATTTAACTCTTATAACAACCTCATGAGACAGACTGTAGGATTATTATCTCCATTAGTGGAAACAGAGGTTTGGAGAGGTTAAATGATTCCTTCAAAGTCTCACAGCCCCTAAGGTGGAACTGAGATTCTAACTAGCGTTTCTCTGACCATACAGTTTGAGATCTTAATCTCTGGCTATACTGACCCCACTTCTTAGGCAGAATTCATTTAGAAAATCTGTCCACGGCCGGGCACAGTGGCTCACGCCTATAATCCCAGTACTGTGGGAGGCCAAGGCGGGTGAATTGCCTGAGGTCAGGAGTTCAAGACCAGGGTGGCTAACATGGTGAAACCTTGTCTCCACTAAAAATACAAAAATCAGCCAGGCGTGGTGGTGCACGCCTGTAGTTCCAGCTACTCAGGAGGCTGAGGCAGGAGAATCGCTTCGAGCCAGGAGATGGAGGTTGCAGTGAGCCGAGATGGCGCGATTGCACTCCAGCCTGGGTGACAGAGCTAGACTCCGTCTCAAAAAAAAAAAAAAAAAAAACAAGTCTGTCCATCCACATTTGTAGTATCTGGTGGATGTAGCAGAGGATATCTACCCATAAGACTACAATCATTATATTTCCAGGTAGACTAGATTTGTAAAATGTAGCAAAATTAAAGTATATTTAACCAAATAAAATCATGAATGCTTTGATTAAAAAAAGAACAGCCAATAAGTGAGATGGAAAGCAGGGACAAGAAAGAATATACCATTTGATAAAATTAAACTTGCATGAGCTTTTCTCACACTTCCCGTATCAAAAGCTCAAGTCATAGCTCAACAGGTTAGGACACCATGAGTTTGAATAAAGTAGTAATTTCACACAACTGCTTTATCGTACTGGTTATTGATTTGTTCTGAAAGCATTCTAAGACCCCACGACCCGCAAAGCCCTTGCAGCTCTCATCTGTGACACTGCCATGGCCGGCCGTCTGTGTCATCAAGGCACCCAACTTATCTCCCTGTAGTTTCAGGGTCAGTAGTTCCTGCTATTGAAAACCCTGCTTTTTTTCCATGGGTTTATAAATAGGTTGTTTTAAGTGACCCCGAGCTGAAACCAAGCTTACAAGGTGTCAGGCTAGATGCAAGTTTTCTGCCCGCTGAAGCTTTAAATTTGCCAGACCTGATTTCTAAACACAGCTTAGGAAATAGTAACTAAAACAAATTTTCATTTTAAAGGCATTTCTTTTGAAGTCTCATCCTACTAATGAAATTCAACTTTGCAGGTTTAAAATATAAGTTTTTACTTTGGGAAGAAGTGACAGAGAATGAGGAGGGTTAAAGTAAAAACTAAGTCGGCTGAGTAAAATTCAGCCAACCAGAACTCCTGGTTAAATGGATTCTGAAGATGAAGGGCATGCTACTCCCAGGAGACAAAGGCAAATGATAGAAAACAAATTACATCATGGATTTAAATTTTTTTAATCTTCCAAGCTATTTCCTAAAGTCAGTAGAGGTTCTATCTGGTCACACTTTTTTAAAGCTATAATTCTGAAGAGTGATTACTTATCTATTTAGAAGGATTAGATCGCAAGATTTCCAAATAAACAAATACCTTAATTATGTCCACACATTATGCTTCTTATGGTAGGAAAGGAAACACTTTATAAATAATGTCAACAGTCAAATCATATCAATACTATCAGTGAAGATATGATTGCTATTAAGATGCTCAATGATAGTTATTAGAATTAAATAACTTCCATTGAAAATTCCTGTGTCAGACATGTGGCTAATATTCTCTCTTTAAATACTAATGACAAGTCTTCCAGACAAACATTATCATTCCCATTTAACAGAAGAGAAAATTCAGAGTCTAAAGGTTAACTTGCTCAAGACCACTTAGCTAGTAAGTTGCATAATAAGATTTCAATTCAGGTCTATCAAATTCAAAAGCCCATGCTCTTTTGATCCCATGAGTTTCCTGCTTGATTTTGAGACAAAACCCTTCACATTAATGGGGTCAGCTAAAAAGATTTCCATCTAAGTAAGTTTTCCCCCATCTCACGTAAGAGGGACTCATGGATTCTAGTCAACTCTTCTGTACATGTTTAGTGTAGGTTTGAGCTCCCCAGTTGTTTTTAATAGGACATTGAAAATTATGTCCTTGGATGTTTGGTAAATGTAATCCTGGGAATTATGATAGCTCAAACAATGACAGCCTCAAGGAGAGCTACAGTCTTGTTAGAAAGGGCCCCCAAGCCTCCCACAGGGCTAAATAAAGTTAAAGGCCAGGTGCCTTCAATGTCTTCATGCCTCCTACACAGTGTCTCTGCGTGTTCCTCTGAGTTTGCAAGCTGGAGAGTAAGGCAGTAACAGACAAGGGCTCTCTCTCCAGGAAGGGGAGCAGGTTCAAGAGTCCTCTCTTTGGTGCTCAGTCCAGCAGCTCTTCCTGAACTTGGCTTTCCCTGCTTCTTGCTGTTCCCCAACCCTGCCTCTGGGTGCCCCAAGAAATGCGTCAGCACACAAGCCAGGCAGGCTGCTGCTCCCCTATAGGAGAGGACCACCCTCCAGTAAGTACATTATCTGGATATTGAAGGTTCTCTCTGCCTTTAAGTTCTTGGCTGCAAAGTGGACATTAACACCTTTCTGTTGAATTCTACCTTGCTACACGGAGTACTGTCATCCACATGCCCCATCAGTGAGGCGCCCTCCCTCGGCCAAGAGGGAGGTCAACTTGCACCAGACCATGTACAGGAGCCCTGGCTGTGCCTGCCTCTCCAGGAGGTGCCCTCGGTAGGTGGCTTACCTTCATGTGGGATTTGAGATTGTCCTTGCGAGCACACCGGAATGGACAGAGCGGACACTGATGACTTTTTAAACCTGTGTGAATCACCATGTGCCGCTTCCAGTAACTCTTCCTTTTAATAACCAAACCACATATTGGACACTGGAAAGGCTTTCCACTTTCCTCTTCTGAGGCTTGGAAGAAGGAGAAAGAAAGGAACATTTAGGAAAACAAAAAGGTACATTGCATCTGGCATTAATTCACATACACTGCCGTATAAAAAGCACTAAAAATGATTTGGGGTTTTTTCTTGACAATTCCGAGATTTTATCCATAAGAAAGTTTTAGTACTGCTTTTCTTCAGGTAGAAACCCATATTCATCTAGTTACTTTCATCTGGGCTCCATTTTCCGAAATCTGATCATCCTGCCTTGTGAAAGTCTGACTTCCAGAGGCCATCCAGCACAAAGGAAGACATCTGCAAAGGGGCTTCGCCCGGCCTGTCCTAACTCAGGGCCCAGGGGCACCATCCACAGTCAGAGAAGCCTGAATGCAGGGGCTTTGTTTCCTGAAGGAAACTGTCAGACTCAAGTCCATGTCTGAATTCCTGAACTTGGAAAACAGTGAGAAATAAAAACAAATCACATGGGACAGAGAATAATGCACTGCTCCACACTGAAAACCAAACAGCTATCATAAACCTCACTCTCTGAACTCCAATGGAGACAAATTTTTGGATCCCTACTGCTGACTTGTTTAGTTGTGGCTTGAGCAGATGCTGCTGCCAGTGTAGCCATCAGGGGGCTTAAGGTCAGGGTTTTTGACCCTTTTATTTCTGTCCCTTTGGTAGCCACTAACAATATGTGCTGGCTTCCTCTGCACGGTGACTGGGCTTTGCTGACCACTTTCGGAAGAGCTGCAATGGGGCCACGGCAAATGCTCCAATCTTTCAAGAAATTAAACAAACCAACTACCTCCTCCAAATAAAGCTAAAGTCGTTCTCAAAGTGAAGGGTCTCTGTTGTGACACTATTGCTAAACTTCTGGTCTACCAACTCACATTGCTCAGTGCCACACTAGCCTCTGCAATTTGAGGATACAGGGAGTAAAAATAAGCAGAATCAAGGGCTTAGACATTTCTTTCTTAATCATAAGGAATCAGAAATATTTCAAAACCAGTTAAATGACTTGGCATATGTGCCCACAATAAAATATAGAAAGCACTTTTAAAAATGAGCTAGATCTACAGAAGATGATATAAAAACATGTCCAAGATATTAGCATTGGTGGATAAAGCAAGATATAAAACCATATATCCAGGGTGATTCTATTTTTGTTTTCTAAAAAAATGGGGATCAGGCACAGCTAAAACCATTAGGTGAAATATTAGCAGGGAACTTTATAAAGGATGGATCAAGTTGACAACACCTAAAACCACTAATTAATCTTAACATTACTAAAAATGGGGCAGATACCGTGTACCTTCTGATGTCATCTGTGAAATGTCCTTATAAAAAATTAAACAATCCTCTATATAACTAGCCCTTTATTGGAAATACAATTGATTTTTTTTAAAAAGTGTTAAACACACCAATGGGATGAAATCAGCCAAATCTATAACGTGTGAATTCCTCAGGACAAATGACCCAGTTTCTTCAACATGTAAATGGCATTTTTAAAAGAGAAGAGGTTATGGAAAAATAAAGACTTAAGAGATATATACAAAAAAATGCAAGGTGTGAAGCTTATTTGGATTCTGTTTAAATAAAACAACTGTAAAAGGACATTTCTCAGATAATTGAGGAAATACTGATTATAGCTTGGGTGTTCCAAAATATCATTTAGCAATTGTTATTCCTGTTAGATGTGATAGTGGAATTGTGGTTATTTTTTTAAGTCCTTATCTGTTGAAGATATATACATGGAAGTATTTACAAGAAAGCTGACCATGATGTCTGGGATTTGCTTTAAAATACTTGAGAAAAAATAAAGGGAGGGAATGGGAAGAATGGCATTAATAAATGGAACAAACAAAAAATGGTATCTTTTTACTTGCATGAAAACTTTCTGGAAGCATACCCAGGAAAACACTAAGTAGTTATCACTGAAGGATTGTGGATTAAAAGGAAGGAATCAGGAGGGAAACTTGTGTTTTCATTTCACATCCTTCTGTACTATTTGAATTTTTTAATGTACACGTTACCCTTCTAATTTTAAAAGAAAATATTCCCAAGAGTATACTTTAAAATAATTTCATCATGTATTTATTGGGTCAACTGAGTCTCTACATACAAAGGAACACTTCAAATGGATGGAACCAGAAGGTTCTGGAATAAAGTTAGAGCGTTCCAAAAATGCAGTTTTACTAATACAGGTCTATTGGTTAGCTCAACCATGCAACTTGAGAAAGAATCAAGTCTGGAAATTCTACTTGTGATGTGTTCCACCACATGTATTTCCTTTCGTAATTGGGGGAGTAAGAGGAAATGAGGGTTTCCTTTTACTCTAGGAAGAGCACACCTTGTAGACACACATAAACAAGCATTTTTTATTAACCCCCTGTAGCTTTTCTGCTGTCTGTTTTCGTGAATTGCCTCTGCCGATCTGGAGTCCTATTTGTAATTATGTCTCTTGTCTTCTATGCTTCCTTGTCATTTCCTCCACCCTGATATTTTGATCATGAAGACTACATGATGAACAACAGACTGGAGAGAAAGGACTGAATCAGGCCTCTACGTGAAATTACTGTCATACACTATGGGGAAAAAAAATCATAACAATGTCTATTTGGGGTTGTAAGAACATCAAAATAATAGGAAAGAGATAAACAAACAGGCTGTCATTGATCCCCATCTTCAAGAAGTATGTCCCACTATCAAATTCCTAAACTACCTAATTTTACAGAACTGTCTGGAAGAGGAGAGAAAAATTGAGATGTCTTCCACTGACCTGAGATTTCATGGCACACCATAGCAAGGCAAAAAAGGGCATTAGCTGAAAAAATGAACTCCGCCGGCTTCCCCTCACATCTTGCCTTGCCTAATGTGACCAATGCATTTCCTATTCTTTCTGAGACCCACAGTCTTCACCTTAATCAACAATTCTTTATTTCAAATGTATTACAGAGTACATTACATTTAACCCTGCATATTACTATTTCATATAAATCCATTTAGCTATGCTTCCTTAGTTTTAATCAGTACCAAAATACACGAGTTGGGAACAAATTAGGGTGCACTTGAACTGACTAGGAAAAAAATTAACACACAATGAAGAGAAACTAACTGCAAGAAATGCGGCCAAACAGCTACACTACAATAATTTTTGAAATTTTAACTGATCACAGCAGGAAAGGAAGACGACAGAAACCAAATGATAAAAGAAACCCAAGTACCATGATCGATTTTCACCTTTGGCCAGTAATCTCCCCTGATAACATCTGCATTTTTATTTATTCAAGAAAGAAATTTCATATTTTAGTAGGATGCTCTCCATGTGTTTATGATGTTGTTAAGTACTTTAAAGAAGGGAGGAAGTAAGGTTGTACTCTATTTCGTATGCCAAACTATTTTCAGGGAACTGACAGCTGTAAATTTCACTTAAAGTTAGAACCTAAGGAAATATGACCACTTCCTCAGAATGAACCATACACTTTTGAGGCAACAGGATTGAAATGTTCATAATTTTGCCTAGTTTACAACTGCCTAATAAATAACTTTTCCCAAGTATATCACTAGCTACTTATTATCACTGCGAACAACACTAAATTCCACCAAATGCTAAGAGAACCAGTGGGATGAATAGCTGCTGATCTGCTCCTCTGGAGATAACTATTCTCTTCATAGGCAGTAATATTATTGGAATAAAAGAAATAATGAATGTGCACAAGACACCTGTCACATAGTAAATAGAAGCTACTTGTAGTAGCAGTTGTTGTATTAAGAGTAGTGACAATAAACAAACTCTAAACATGCCCTGCAAAGCTGAAAACTCACCATCAGAGCAGATGTAAATCTAAACAACTAACATCACATAATAAATACACGGTTCAGAGCTTGGCCCAACATGGTAGTTTGTCACTGGAGCCAATATGAAACACATAAGCAGAAGTCCATAGTGTGGCTCAGGTAGGGTCTGGCTCAGCCTAGACAAAATACTGATGGATAATCCAGCCCAGCATGGAAAAAAAAGACATGGAAAAGATAGTAAAGAGTGGAGGGAGGAATTGGCTGCAGTAGGGCCTGGAAGTCCTTACCTTTGTGTCTCCAGCACCCAAACAATGCCAGGTACAACATATAATTCAATAAGTGTGTGTTAGACCATAAGGAGATTAAATGAAAAAGGTTGGGTTAAGGGAATAGAGAGAAGTGAAATGAGGGCTAGAAATGAAAGGAAAAGATGCAGGAGGCTGCCAGTAAGTCCCAGTGGAACTTGTGTTAGGCCAAGAGTGTGTGTATGCCTTTCACATAGTGCCCCAATACACATTCTAAATGAATGGATGGATAAACAGATAAATGTTCATGTACTGAGACCTCAGCTATTTCCAAAAATGAACCTGGAGCAGCTTATATTAAAAATGCATATGGTATGACTACATCATTAATAAAGGACAGTGATAAATGTTGAACTATTTATAATGAACAAGATCTGCCCAAAGCAGAGATGATCTTGTGGGAAGCTTGATAGTGAATTTTAAGAAGCAACATTAAACTCAAAAATTAGGGGGAAAAAAGTTTGTTTTGAGTTAATAAACAGAGTTTTAAAACACTGAGCAGTAAATATAAGCAAGGAATTCTAAAACAGGAAAGGATCTTGCCGATCATCCAGCTCTGTTTACAGATGAGGATACTAAACTGAGGTGGTATGCCGTGAGTCTCTCTACTAGTTAGTGGCAGAACTGAGATTACAGCTCATCTCTTCACTTCTGGTTTGCTGCTCTACCCTATTGCCTATGCATAAATCCCCAAAACAACAACAAAACTTCATTGGGCTAAAAAAAATTTTTTTTTTTTTAAATCATGGAGGGTTGTAGTAGCTTAACCGCTTTAACACAAAGGTATTTTAAAAACAAATGTAACTGTTTTGTAGGCTTTGAAATCAAACTTCCTGTTGTTCAATCATATGTGGTGATTTGCAGCAGGTCAACATAACTTGCAATTGGATAGTTTCTGCATATAGACTTTACCATAAACTTAAGAGTTCAAGATGCTTGGTGACCCTGGGTCTGCATAATCTGTGCATTATCATGGTCTTCATTCTGGACCTACTAACACTACCAGTGCACATCTGTGTAGGATGACGACCCATCTTCCTTCCTAACAATACACATGGATTTTAAATCTTTTAACAGAATTGCTTTGTCATGTGTCTCAAATGCTATTTCATGGCAACAAAAACAACCTAGATTAGCAATGGATGTCCCTGGGTTTATCTGTTATTATGGATGCAGACTTTATTAATGCCTATTTTAACTAGTAAATATTCAGAGAAGTCTGATATCTACAGCCATACTAAGTTTAAATCACTGCAAAAATATAATTGAGATGAACGACGGACAGTTCTAAAAATCTTTGTTAAAAAGTGAATTTTCTAAACAGGTGCATGTGCGGGATCATTCTCAGATTAAGGCTGATTGAGACTTATGACCGGGCCCTGTGGTTCATGCCTGTAATCCCAGCACTTTGGGGGCCTGAGGAGGGTGGATCACTTGAGGCCAGAAGTTCGAGACCAGTCTGACCAACATGGCGAAACCCCATCTCTACTAAAATTACAAAAATTAGTCGGGTGTGGGGGTGCATGCCTATAGTCCCAGCTTCTCAGGAGGCTGAGGCACAAGAATTGCTTGAACCGGGGAGGCAGAGGCTGCAGTGAGCCGAGATTGCACCACCGCACTCTAGCCTGGGCTATAGAGCGAGACTGTCACAAACAAAAGATTTACTATAATAACCATGGGCCTAATGGGAGTATCAGGAGAGGTGATCTCCCTCTCTGGACTTTGTATGCTTTTGCAATAATTTTAATAACATCACATAAATATTAAAGAAAACAGCAGCCAGAAACCCGCTATGTATTGACCCACAGGAAATATTCTTAGTTCTCAGCTGTATGAGACCAGGTTTGCTTCTAAGAATATTTACATTTTATTCAGTACAATAAGATGTTTTGGAGACCCTCTCTCTGAAACCCTCCCTGTTATTTCTTTTAACCAGGAGTATGGCATCCTGGGAATCTTGTTGGCCTTCTACAAGAAACTTTGTCTTTAAAATAAAAACCATTTATTTTATTCTTAGCTGCAACAGAACAGTAGCTTCAAAGAGAATTCAGTCAATGTGTGACATTTATCTTTATAGCAAATGGACATAATCTTCCCTCTATCGTGTCCCCTTTCAGAGGGGCTGTGTAGCATGTGCTGGGGGCGTAGGGTCACATGAAAGAAACCTCCCCCTCAAGTGTCACGTCTCTCTTGCAGGGCGGAAAGGCTATCGAGTGGTGGACTCTTGAAGGAATTAAATACACCATGACCTGGCAACCACTGAATCCTGTTCAAAAAAGAAGAATAAGGCCAAACCTAAAAGACGATTTTTTTTGTTCACGGTTTGGACTTCCCTTGACCTAAAGAAGGTCAAAGAAATGCTGGTGTCTAAATTACTCAAGGCAGAATCAGCTTTTCTAGAACATATCTCTTTGTAACTTACGAATCAACTTTATATGCCTTTTCTTTTTTTGCACATTTTGAGAAATCGCTTTTTAAAAATGAAAGCCCTGCCTGAAATCAGGATGGTGTGTAGTTTATTTTTATGGCTTTTTGTTGTTGTTCTTGGGGGTGGTTATTATTTGTTTACTTAAGTCATTAGGCAACAGAAACTCTTTTCCCTGCTGTGAGAGGCCATTGCACCTATGTATTTTGAATTAAACTAAGATTTCCTTCTAAGGAAGAGGAAAGAATAATAATGACAAATGTTCTGAAACAGGGGTGATGGCTCTCACCACATTTCCATAATGCTTCTTAGGTAAACTGAAGGTGCATCCCAATCCAGCCCCAGGTGGCCCCCAAACCAACAGTACAATGTGTGGAAGGTGGGGGAGGGAGGGAGAGAGAAGAAAAGGGAGTTGGGGAGGGTGGAGGGGACAGATGGAGATGACCCACCTTTCCTTCTACTCCTCAGATGCCAAAATCAGGGATCCCCAGTAACACCAAATTGTGTACCCATGATACAAAGACAAATAACAAAATTAGATAATCTATGAACTCCTTATTAACCCATAATCTAGCTAGGCTGCTGGGAAGTGATGACATTCACTTTAACTGAAAAGAGTGAGGGCGTCCCCTCTTCTGTTTCCAATCCATGCAATAACAAACAGAACTTGAACGCAGGATGTGTCCACGTGGACATATGGAATATTTTTTGGGTAACAATTTCAAGGACCCTCAATTTCTTGGCAGTGATCTTTCCTCATGCATGAGTTTTACAAAATGAAAGATTTTTTAAATAAAATTACTCTGCCAATGAAGCTGCTTCTTCAAGTCTTAGACTGTGAACAGAAGCATGTTGAAATGGGGGAGTTGGGGTGGGGAGGCCTCACGTACAAGTCAATCAGCGCAGGGTTCTATAACCCAAAGCTGAGAAGTTCCTTTCCCTCCTCTTTCAGTTTGAACATTCTGAACATCCATTGATTAAAATATTAAGTGTTTCAGCAATATAATAAATTTAGTAAAAAGCAAAGTAAGAAACGATTTCTTATAGATCTCCTATATTCAATTATTCTGAGAACCCCACTGAGTTTCTGGCATAGATTAAGTGCATTTAAACAAAAAAGGAACATAGTTTTTCCCTGGGGTGTATTTCCTACAACAAAACAAACAAAAAGTCTACCATTCACTGGAAGCTCATGACCTTTTTCTCATCTTTACATGTATCTAGTTGTTTGAGCGAAAAAAATTATATTCACAACTATTGCTGGTTATACCCGAGACTACTTTAATATGACAAAGCTACTACAGTTCGGATTTCAGGAAACATGGTTTTATCAGTCATTTCTTTCCAAGTCTTCAATCAACTAAAGTTTATTATTAATTCGGTATAAGCTTTTCCAAGTAACAAATGTCCACTTGAATGTCTACTAGAAACACCATTCACGCATTTATTCAATAACTAGATATGCAGAATATATATATAATTATTATTTTCATTTTTAAATTTTTATTTTTTTGAGACAGAGTCTCATCCACGCTGGAGTGCAGTGGCAGGATCTCAGCTCACTGCAACTTCTGCCTCCCAGATTCAAGCAACTCTCCTGCCTCAGCCTCCCGAGTAGCTGGGATTACAGGTGCACACCACCATGCCCGGCTAATTTTTGTATTTTTAGTAGAGACGGGGTTTCATCATATTCGTCAGGCTAGTCTCGATCCCCTGACCTCATGTGACCCACCTGCCTTGGCCCCTCAAAGTGCTGGGATTACAGGCATGAGCCACTGCGCTTGGCCTAAAATTTTTTTATATATAGCCATACCTCTCTTTCTACCGCTATCCCTAAATGAAATTTCTATAAGTCAAGAGTGATTTTTTTCCAATGTAAAATTACCCCAGCCTCCTTTGCTCTTCTCCTTGTTTCCTAATTTTACCCATTTCTCTCCTTATTTCACCAGATGGCAGGTGAGAAGAGAGGAGAAACAGAACTTAGAACTGATAGACAATCCTAGGATTTTATTGACATTTCAGAAACTCTGGAGTGAACAGTTTGAATCACTGAGAGTCATAAAAGTCCCAGATACCCATTTTCCTCGTTGTCTTCTGCTGTTGACTCAAGTTTTGAAGTAACTGTAATTAGCGCATATAGCTCACTCAGCCATTTAAATGGAAAGTTGTCATAAATGCATCAAATTGATGTTAACTATGATCGTTCAGTCAATTATTTGCCATTCCAAACCCTCTTCATCACTGTTGTTGAAAATAATCAAAAGTTGGCTAGATACACACAATGGCAATGTTTGTACCGATGAGGATGCACATAGCCTACTTCCTGCTCCAGTCTGGCAGGATATCCTTAAGAGACATCTGAAACCCCAACACGCATCCCCAGGAGCGTGTATTTATCATGCACACAATTTTAAAGCAAACCAGAACAAGAAATGGTGTTTCCACTGTGAGAATTCAAGTGACTAAATTTCTCCCTAAAAAGATGAATAATTGTGAATGCTAAGGTCCTATATGACAGCAATTTCTCCTTTGGAAAGACTGCCTCCACTAGAAAAACCTTAATTTTCCACATGCATATTCCTTCAAAATTGGATTGTCTTTGAATTAAATAAAGCATTCACAGGAAATGTGTTGATTATGTTTGATTGACAATCTTTTTTAGAGTTCTTATAGGACAAGAAATTTTAGAAGAATAGGATACGTGAAAAGGGCTTAAATTCCACAAAAAGTAATAAAAATGCTAACATAAAAGTATATGCTGTGATAAATTAGGGCAGAGTAGTTCCTGATTGTACAAAAGTCCATTTGTGATGGAGGCAGCAGGAGTGTGGGCTCTCCCTTGTCCACTATTTCAAAAGCAGTGGGTTTTTTTCCCCTATGTTCAGTGATGCCATGCACTCCATGACAAAGATGCTTTGATCTTCTCCCATTAAATATATCTTGTATGGACCTAGTCTGAACTTAGTAAGAAAAAAAAAATCATTTGTATGAAAGGGAGGGAATACTGCGTGTCTCTAAGATTATTCATTACCTTTCAAAAGTGAAGCTATTTGTGAAGTCTTTGTGTAATACGTACATGAAAGACTACTATGCTGCTTACTTAAAGTATTTTTGTTGTGCTCTTGCTTTCTATTCCTGCCTCAGATCAGACGGGGAACCCAACAGAAAAAGGCAACGAATAAGACACCATGGTTTATAGTCTGGAGGACTTACACGATGATTGAAAGAAAAGATGCCATACCTGAATTGGAGGGTTTAGAAACTCTTCCCTTAGGAACTGGGAGTAATAATAATTCCAGGGATTGTGGTGGTGGTGGTGGAGGTGGTGGAGGTGGTGGTGGAGGTGGCGGACTGACTTTTTCTGGTTTCTTCTCTGAAGGCGGGGGCGGTAGAGGGTCCTCAGGCAGCAGCGATGACTTCTCAGCCAGAAGACTGCCCGCAGCCCTTGCTGCCACCTCCTTCAGAAGGGCCGCTGAGGAAGTCATAGAAGCCAGGGAAAGGAAGGAGCTGGCCGGTGGAGGGTGCTCCTGACCGGGAGTCAAACTTCTCTCACTGACCTTCTTGGACAAAGCGGCCAAGGTAGAACTGGCAGACTGGGAGCTAAAAGGGGAGGAAAAGGACTCAAATCGCATGGTCTCCTCAGTCCTGGTGAGAGATTTGTCCTGCAGAACGGCATTGGCTGCAGCTTTCAGTTTTAGGATGGCTGAATCCGGAGACAAGCTGCAGGTGGTGGTTGAGTTTGGCAACCACTTACCTTGATTCCATATAAAACGGTTACTTGGAGTGTATTGGTCATTCTGTTCCTGCTTCTCGGCCAACTTCCTGGCCAGAACACTGAGCTGCTGGGCGTGGTGGGAAGGTGGGGAAAAGGAGAGGTTCGAGCCAACGTTCACGGGGGACTCCACTCTGCCATTGGCCGTGGCTGCAGCATCGAGTTTGAGGGAACCAGCCTCCAGCAGCCGCCTCAAGTTGCTGCTCAGGGGCTTGTTGGAGCCTGGGTCATCGTCACACAAAGAAGACACTCCCGGGGAAAGGTGATCTTGACACTGCAGTGAGTCTCGCAGGACCTCACCGTCCAGTGCCACCAGCTCCAGTGTGTGGCTGCTGGGAGTGGTGCTTCCCAAGGAGGTGTCGGGGGACGTGGACTGCTCCTGGATCCGGTCCTCCAGAGACAACTTATAGTTCTCCTGGACTTCCCCAAAGGATGCTTCTGACGGAGTCTCTGAAGAGTTTCCATACCAGTGTTCTCCTTCACTGAGCTCTCCCTCCGCCTCTTCCTGCCTACTAACATCTGGGGAGAATTAAGAAGATCAGGTTTACTCCCAAAGTGAACAATAAGTAAGTCTCAAGACATTCAATTGGAGTTGATGACATGCTTTCTCTTCCCTTCCACCCAAGAACCAAATGAAAGGTGGCAACAGCCTTAACAGAATGTCAGACAGACTTGGCAGAAGCCTGAAAAAAGTAAAAAATGCCAAACAGGCAAAGGTAAAAACGTACCCAAGTAGTCCAGATAAGCTGAAATGGAAAAGAAGGAAAAAGAAAAATAGATATGGTAAAGAGGTAATTGGATGAAGAAACTGCTGTTTTCAGGGAATGGAGGGAATGGAAAGAAGCCTATATCCTTGTGAAAAACCAGCACAATATGTTTAGCACTGTGACAGAATGAGAGAGGCAGCCTGGCATAGTGGGACACAGACCATGAGACACAGACAGTGGGAAGCGCTTCCCTACTTTCCAACTCCATGACTCCAGGCGAGTCACTGAGCTGGTTTGAGAATCCACTTCCTCCAATGTAAGATGCAATTCATTTTTTAAAAAGCTTATCAAAAATGTCAATAATACCTGCTTAACTCACTCCATCAGTTGTTATGAAGCTTAAATCATAATAAGCGTGTGATCATGTTTTGAAAACAGTCAAGTACTGTATAAAATCAGACTTCATTAGCAAACACTACTCACATTTCTGACTTCTGACTGTGACAGTATCTCCCATGTTATGCATGCTACCTAACTAGGGTCCTAGTTAACTAGGGTAACTCCAGTTATCATCATGCTTGCCATGTTATTACAGGCAGCGATTAGGAATGTGTTCTCTCCCTCCACTAAGAGTCTCTTTTCGTTATTTTCTATTTATCGATCCACCACTACCACTCCCATAGCACTCCCATGCACCAGTTAGGCAGGCTCCTTGCCATTCTAGGGGCATTCACGAGCCCTGCCACTTTTCTCACGATATTCCTTCTATCTGAAATGTCTTTCCCCAGAAAAGCTGACTGTCCAATTCTACTTACCCTTCGACACCCAGCTCAAAGGTTTCTTCCTTACAATTCTCCCTGGAACTCTCAGTCAGAATGAACAAAACTAAGATCTTGCCTTCTTGGAGCTTACATTCCAGTGGGGGAAGACAAGTGTCAAACAAAATTAACAAATGGGTAAATAACATAGCATGCCAGAGGGTGATAAGTCCATGGAAAACCACATGGGGCAGGACATGGAGGATGGGGAGTAATGGGTGGGAAGAGAGCTGCAATTTTAAATAGGTGGTCAAGGTGGAGCTTCACAGAAGTGGTGACATTTGAGTAAAGACTTGGAGGAAGTGAGAAACTGGCCATGCAGACGGAGAGTCACTGTGAAGGCCCTGCTGTGGGAACATGGCTGGCACGTCCATGGAGCAGCACTGAAGCCAGTGTGCGTGGAGTGCAGTGAGTGAGGTCAGAGCAGTGACACAGGAGGTCAGAGAATACCATGAGTGAGTGTGTGTAAGCATGTGTATGACTGCATATGCATGTGTGTGTGTGCATGTGCGCACGCACTGTGGTGCAGGATTGGAGTCACGCAGATCCACAGGATGTTGTGAACTGCAGATACATCTTCCGAATTTGGCAAAACTGGGGACCACTGGATGGTTTGTGGCAAGGGAGTATTATGACGTGACTTATGTTGTTAAAGCATTGTTCTGGCTGCTGTGTGGAAAACAGACTCCAGCTACAAGGATGAGCACCAGGAGGCCAGCTAGGAGGCTAGAATCCAGGTGGGGATTATGAAGGCTCAGCTCAGGACTGCAAGGGGTGAGAAGTGACCCAATTAGGTACATATTTTTATTGCAGAGTCAACATTCTCATATTTTGTTTATATTGATTTTATATTACTCTAAATTATCTGTCTACGGTTGGCTTCCTTCTAAAGTGGTGCTCCTAGAAGGCAGGAATTGTATTTTATCATCTACATATTCCACACTGGGCCTAGCACAATGTCTGGTCCCTAGTAGAGTTCAATGTATGTGTCGGGATTGAGCCAAAATCCCTCCTTGCACGAAGTTTTGCCATATAACATGCTGTTTCTGTTTGAAATAGAAATAACTAGAACTAGTAATGCATGAACTATACACTAATACATTGATCTTCCCATGCTATTTAGAGAAGAAATGTCACAAATGACAAATTCTCTTTCACGAAGCTAAAATTCTGCAACTCCTTCCTGAGATTCTTTATTAAGTTATCAAGAAAATGTAAAATATCAAATGGAATTTGCTGGGAAAAAAGCAGATGAAATTGAATTTTCTCTGTTAAAAACAGTCTGGTTCTTTGTGATCTGCCACATTTCCTTCTTCCCACTTGATTTCAACATTTTCATCTTTCTTGAAATTGGCGGCAACCCTAAACTCATCATTTCTCCAGTGGCTTCTTGGAGAGATGCTTTTTACCAAACACCAAGCAGTCAACATCGATTTCAACAATAGGGCTAATTTTATGTTTCTTTGGCAAACCACCTTTCTTGATTTCAGATTAAACATCTCATCCTTCAGTAGAATCACATAGGAAGTATCCTATAAATAGTAAGTCAAAAGTTTAAAAATCCCTACAGTAAGAATTTGTTGAATATCTGCTCAAAGAATCTTTTCTTTAATCTTTACTATTAAATGAAGTACACTCATTAAGTGAAGTAATGGGAAAATATATTTTTCAAATTTAAATACTTTTAGGTCATATGTGTGTCATACCAGAGTAGCTCAAGGTAATCAAGAATGGTTCCAAATTAATGCAGCAGGGTCACCTAACAAAATACATAAAATCTAGGTTTTGAGAACCATAAGAAGTTACAACCACACATCCAATCTTGTCATTTTACTCAGACTATTAAATACATTAAGTAAAGGTTACTGGCTGAATCAAAGGCACACGACCACATAGAGCTAATGCAGAAACCAAGAACCCCAAATTTCTCAGCTGGCCCAGTGCTTCTCTGCAAGGCTCCACTGCACAATCTGCAGACAGAACCTCTGAATGATGACTTCTAGAGAGCTCTGAGCAGCTGCTCACCTCCTTTCCATTCCCCGTCCTTCCTGCCAGCCTCTTGAATCAGAAATCAGCAAGGGATTCTCTTAGATAAGGACAGTATTCACTCTTTATCTTCAGATAAATCATTAAGAGGTGAGTACTCATTATTCCTGTACTCTAATCTCTTCATTCCCATTCTGCCTCTTCTTTGTTGCAGTTGGTCAAAAGGAGATTCAAATGCCTAAAGAATTTAGCACATCTACTGGCAAAGTTCCAAAAGCAAAGCTTAATTTCCTAACCCCCTCCACACCCTCAGTGAGCAAGAATATTCCTCCTCCAAACGTGCTGAAACAGGTGAGTGTGCAAAGAGGTAAGTGTGCCAAAGGCTAAAGAAACAGTCAACTCAGGCTCTAATCCTACCAAGCAGTGATAAAGATGTCCGAACATTCTTGAAAGATACAACAGCTAATATTTACATTTAAAGCAACTTTCCTAATCTTGACAAAACACAAACTCAAAACAAACAAGTGAATAAACAAAGTATTTCTTTTTTTTTTTTTTTTGAGACAGTGTCTCACTCTGTCGCCCAGGTTGGAGTGCAGTGGGACAATCTCAGCTCACTGCAAGCTCCACCTCCTGGGTCCACACCATTCTCCTGCCTCAGCCTCCTCAGTAGCTGGGACTACAGGCGCCCGCCACCACATCCGGCTAATTTTTTTTTTTTTTTTGTATTTTTAGTAGAGATGAGGTTTCACCGTGTTAGCCAGGATGGTCTCGATCTCCTGACCTCGTGATTTGCCCACCTTGGCCTCCCAAAGTGCTGGGATTACAGGCGTGAGCCACCACACCCAGCCTAAATAAAGTATTTCTTAAACAGAACTGTTTATGGCTCCTCAAATGCCTAGATAATTTCTCAACCATCCATCCCTCTATTGTTCGCAGACTTGTTCACTGAGATACACATACCGCTGGACTGCAAGAAAACTTGGATGCATAAAGAGTATTTCTTAAATTCATAATACTCTATTAATCACTTTATTGAAGATGCTGCTACTGAAATTGAGGTTATTCAAGAAATAAGCTACCATATAATTTTAATGCATGGCATAGAAAGAGAAAGAGCAGAAACTTGAGGAGAAACATACCTGAAATTATTCTGGCAATACCTGAGGTCAAATAAATGGTGGGGGGAGATTTGGGAGAAATGAATGCAAGAAAATGAGGATGTGCAGAGGGTGGGGAAAAATCATAAGAAGTTCAAACAAATATATGTCTGTGTTCACAAAACAGCAAGGATTTTCTCCCACTTTTTTTTTTTCTTTTTTGCCTGCTGGGCTCCTCTATTTTCATGTCCAATCTCATCAAGGAGTTCTTGAAGGCTGCAGTGGTCCAGCTATGGTGAGCTCTCCTGCAGAGTCTGTAGGACAACCTGCACCTTTCCTAGCCTGGAATTTCCTTTCACACTACATCCTGAGAAAAAGTTCTCTCATTGTGGAGCTCAAAACAAAGCATTCCTGAAATCTAGAGGATGAATTTGCTGGACACAACAAACTTCAGAACATGCAAACCTTGACTTTTGTGTCTCTCTTTCACAATCTGAGAAGTCTCAGGCAGCAAGACACCTCCATTTTCCAGTCTGCCAACCAGCACGGACTCTTTACATGGAATCATGGAACAGTACCACACAAGCCAGGGTCCTGGAAGTGCTTCCTGCGGTACACTGACTGTGGATTTCACAGCTTTCTTAACCAAGGCTTCCCGGGGAAGCCTCTAAATGGCCAATGTAAATAACTTCCTTGTAAATACATTATTTTTAACCTCCAGAGAAGAAAGCTATTTCCATTGCTAATTTTACAACAACCTCTGTCTCTGACTGTCAGGTTCACACTCATTCTTGTCAATTTTACACAACAGTCTGTTTTTGTGTGTGTTTTCCCTTTAAATCAGAAACACAAAGAATTAAGAATAGCAATGGTGCAATTACAGAATGAAAATATGCTGAATAAATTTT